ATGCCTCTTTAGTGTATTTCTACCTTCCCACAGAAAGAGATTTGGAGGGTTAACTGTTTCCAAAATGTTATTTCCTTTCCACTTTGCCTCTTGATGGTTTATTATTATGTCATCTTTTTCTTGCATGTGGTTTTATGTCATTTTATCTTATTTTTACTTTTAGGAACAGTCAGAAGCAAGTGGGACTGACGATGAGTGATCAGTGTATGGACCTTTTTTCCCTGGAAGACGGAATACCTTCCTCCCCTCTCTCATGTCTACCCAGTGAGTTCATCTGCCATATAAACACTGGGTTGTTTCTACATCATCATCTATAAACTAGCTTTAGGATAGTGCCAGACAAACATATGATATCATGGTGTAAAAAAACACACACACACGCACATACACAAATACTTGTAACATATTGTGACCAAATGGGCCTCAAAGATTCAAAGATTAAAACAAAAAAGCTTTTGATGGAAAATATGTGGGTGGATAGTATATTTCTATGGGTGGGTCTAATTTGGTAACAGTTTGATCGTGCCTGGTTTTATCACCTGTTCAGATGAGAAGATTTTTGTCTTTTGTAGCACTGATAACCAGGAGAAGCCATTAACAGCCACTGGTTATTTTATTTTTCATCAGGCAATTTTCGAGGTTTTTATTTGTTTGTTTTTTTCCTTTTTTTTTACACTGTGGTACATATAAGCAACTTTAATAGGTGATAAATGTACAGTAGTTAGATTTCACCTACATATACATTTTTCCATTTTATGCTCTGTGATCTGAAAAAAAAATGGCTTTTTGAATTGTATAAGATTTATGTCTACTGTAAACATTGCTTAATTTTTTTTGCTCTTGATTTAAAAAACAAAAAGTTTGTTGAAAACGCTATTGAATATTGCAATCTATATAGTGTATTGGATGGCTTCTTTTGTCAACCTGATCTCCTATGTTACCAATGTGTATCGTCTCCTTCTCCCTAAAGTGTACTTAATCTTTGCTTTCTTTGCACAATGTCTTTGGTTGCAAGTCATAAGCCTGAGGCAAATAAAATTCCAGTAATTTCAAAGAATGTGGTATTGGTGCTTTCCTAATAAAGAGATAATTTCGCTCGACAAATGTTGCCTCTTGTTTATGAGTTCTAGGGGATTGAAACGCTTGTGCCTGAGATGGCAGTTTCCTGCAGAGGACTAGGTAGGTTCCTGCTACCAAACACGTGGTAGAGGAAGAAAAAAGAAAAACTGAGAAAGCCAATCTCTTGGAATGATCCAGGTTGTCACATGGCGAGAATGGCCTGACCAAGAGAGCTAACCTCACTTCCTCTTCTTTTAAAGCCATCAGAACCATGCCCCTTATTCCATGAATGGATCAATCCATTCAGGAGGGCACAGCCCTCACAACCTAGTCACTTCTCAAAGGCCCCACCCTCTGACACTGTTATAATGGAGATCAGGTTTCCAATACATGAACCTTTTGGGGGACGCATTTGACCCATAGCAACTTCCTTTCTTAGAATGGTCTAAGGAGAACTCCAGGATCCTTGTTTTTATAATGTGAGGATTTGCCAATGCTATATACTACTTTGAATCTTGAAGGAAATTTGACCCAGAGTACAGTNTAATGGAGATCAGGTTTCCAATACATGAACCTTTTGGGGGACGCATTTGACCCATAGCAACTTCCTTTCTTAGAATGGTCTAAGGAGAACTCCAGGATCCTTGTTTTTATAATGTGAGGATTTGCCAATGCTATATACTACTTTGAATCTTGAAGGAAATTTGACCCAGAGTACAGTTCTCCTGAGAAACTTCTTTGTCTCTCTAAATTTCAACTCTCACATCTGAATTTTCAGTTAGACTAAGCATTGCAGAGGAGTTTCCTTTTTGTTTGTTCCTAGGATTTGCTAACCACAGTAGGATTGGAGACCTCCATGAAAGAAGAAACCATATTTTTCTTACTGAGATAATTTGGTGTCAGTTTAAAGAAAACAATCATCTTTCCCTGCACATATTTTATGTGCTCTCTGCAATCTCGTCTTGTCTTCAGAGGCATTGCTGTTCTAAAACCGTCAAAACCATCATCTCTATCATTCAGGATTTCTCCTATATGAAGAATGTTCTCTAATCCTTCTGCTGGGGTCCTTGGTATATTGCTCTCCCTGGCTCTAGAGGGAATGAGAGCCGGGAAGGTGGGCGGGTATCTTCACAGTGCGAGGCAGTGACAGAGTGAGCATGGGTGAGCAGGAGGCAGGCCATCCTGAGCCAGCGGGGAGACCTGTTTACCACGCTGCAGCAGCCTTCTTGCTCGGCTCCAGTAGCTGAGCTCATCCTCAGGCCTAGTTCTTCCCGAGGTCAATGGTTTACCAGGAACAGAGGAAGGAAGCCAAGGGTAGCAAGTGTTTTAAAAGTACCGGGTTCCTTGTATTTTATTCAATGACAAGAACCATGTGAAGAAAGCATAGTTTTTGTTTCCATTTTACAAAAAAGGATAATGTAAAGATGAAATTGAATAGCAATGGCCTATGCACCAAAAGCTGGACTTGGCAGTCAGATTGTTTCTCTCCAGAGCTCACACTCCTTGCAGCTTTCCCACCTGCCCCCAGCGAGCAAGGCCTGGACCTGATCTTGTTGATAAGCCTCCAGCACCCAAATTCCCGGAGGATTTGCCAATGCTATATACTACTTTGAATCTTGAAGGAAATTTGACCCAGAGTACAGTCCTCCTGAGAAACTTCTTTGTCTCTCTAAATTTCAACTCTCACATCTGAATTTTCAGTTAGTCTAAGCATTGCAGAGGAGTTTCCTTTTTGTTTGTTCCTAGGATTTGCTAACCACAGTAGGATTGGAGACCTCCATGAAAGAAGAAACCATATTTTTCTTACTGAGATAATTTGGTGTCAGTTTAAAGAAAACAATCATCTTTCCCTGCACATATTTTATGTGCTCTCTGCAATCTCGTCTTGTCCTCAGAGGCATTGCTGTTCTAAAACCATCAAAACCATCATCTCTATCATTCAGGATTTCTCCTGTATGAAGAATGTTCCCTAATCCTTCTGCTGGGGTCCTTGGTATATTGCTCTCCTTGGCTCTAGAGGGAATGAGAGCCGGGAAGGTGGGCGGGTATCTTCACAGTGCAAGGCAGTGACAGAGTGAGCATGGGTGAGCAGGAGGCAGGCCATCCTGAGCCAGCGGGGAGACCTGTTTACCACGCTGCAGCAGCCTTCTTGCTTGGCTCCAGTAGCTGAGCTCATCCTCAGGCCTAGTTCTTCCCGAGGTCAATGGTTTACCAGGAACAGAGGAAGGAAGCCAAGGGTAGCAAGTGTTTTAAAAGTACTGGGTTCTTTGTATTTTATTCAATGACAAGAACCATGTGAAGGAAGCATAGTTTTTGTTTCCATTTTACAAAAAAGGATAATGTAAAGATGAAATTGAATAGCAATGGCCTATGCACCAAAAGCTGGACTTGGCAGTCAGATTGTTTCTCTCCAGAGCTCACACTCCTTGCAGCTTTCCCACCTGCCCCCAGTGAGCAAGGCCTGGACCTGATCTTGTTGATAAGCCTCCAGCACCCAAATTCCCGCATGTGCTAACACACTAGGCTTAGAAGCAAGTCTTGAGCTTACAGCAGAGGCTCAGTCCTCTGGTTTCTGTGGCCGAGAACGGAACTTTCTTCTGATACCCAGTTTTCTTGGCTGAGCCCTGCTACCATGGCTCTTCATAAGCCGCTCAGCGAGGACCAGGACCTCAGCCCCTAGGGCCCAGCTGATTTAAATATCATGACTGTCACAATCCACCCATGAGATCAGAGCCTGCCATCCATATAGGCAATGACCAAGTTCACATTGCCCCAACCACTGACACCACCAAGGTTTCGCTGAGAAGAGGTATCTATGTTTCATGATCCCCATAGACACCAGACAGGGTGTGCTCAGTGTGCAATTACCAAGTTCACATTGCCCCAACCACTGACACCACCAAGGTTTCGCTGAGAAGAGGTATCTATGTCTCATGATCCCCATAGACACCAGACAGGGTGTGCTCAGTGTGCAATTAGAGCCTCAAGCCAAGTCCTCCAGTTCCACATCCACCCAGACTGACATTCCTAAGTACTTCCCATGTGGGAATTCTGGAACCACACCAGTCCCACCCTTATGAGAACAGACTCCTGACTGCCCCCCCACCCCAGCCTGCCCTGTGCACCTGATTGATTGGGTCTACCTGAGTTATAAGGCTATGCTCAGAGCACTAGCAGCACAATCCTAAACAAGATTATTTTCATAGGTCTAACCTTTAGAATGGGTGTTGTAAATATGAACCTCTTGATTTCCATTTAAAATTGGTATACAGCCAAAATATACTCAAACCAGAAACATTGTAGCAGGGATGTAAACATTTTTAACAACATCGTTTGTTTTCTAAGGCTGCTTATTTATCTTTAATTACTCAGATGAAAGACCATAATCATGGCCCTGAATTGGATTATTCTGAGCTTTGCCACAGACTTATTTGAGTTTCAGTTTCCTCAAAATGTGAAGAGTAAATTATCCTATAATTCTAAACCTGTAGTTGAGGTATACCTTTATGTTGGGAAGGGTTTCCATTATGTTAGAAAAAATGACTTCTAAATTAAATGTTATTTTAAAAATCCAGAAAGATGTACAAAATCAAGAAGCAGACTGGAGATTGCTTGTAAGTATTGAAATCAAGCCTTGACAGTATTGAAAATCAGTATATCTCAAAGTTTGGTCCCTGAGCTAGTAGGATCTGCACCACTTGGAAATGTTGGAAATACAAATTCTCATGACTCATCCCCGACCTACAGAATCAGAAACTCTAAGGGTGGGGCCCAGCAATATAACAAGCCTTCCAGGTGATTCTGATGCAAACTCAAGTTTGAAGACCACTGCTCTAAATCTATTAGGTTCTCAGTCATCTCTGTTGTTTAATTCCTGGGGGAAAATGTGAGGTCATATTGGTCTTGGTTTAGATCACTGGTACAGGCATGCACACCCAGTGCATCACTGTCTTCCTAGTAAAAAGCAAGTCAGCATAAATGGGAATAACTGAAAAGGCTGAGCATTCTTTATCTCTGTGAAACAGCGTTTCTGTCCTATATGTTACAAGGCAGCTGCCTTTATTTGTGCTTGACTTAGACCTCACTCAGATTGGTATAATACTTGAGAGGAATATGTTTGGTTTGCTTAGCAGAAAGGTA